CGGGCGGGCAGCGCTGGTTGGGCGACGGTGCGAGAGACGAGTTCAGCTTCAGGGGTCGCGCCGCGCGCGTTCAATTTCTCCGCCCCAATTGCCCAGCTGGCGCGGAGTGCGGGCCATGCAGAGGGGCCCGCGCCATTGCGCATCGAGGCGCCCGCTGCCAGTCTGACTGGTTCGGGGGCCGCCGTCGCAGCGAGCAGTGCAGCCGTCGCGATTTGGGGCGCGCTGCGTTGGGCGCAGCGCGCGGCGGGGGCATGGGGCATGGGCGCAGCTGCGTTCGCCCATAGCTCCTTTGGCTGGCAGCTCGGTCTGCAGCGCGCATCGGTGATTGCGCGGCGGCGTTCGTCACTGGTTTGGCGCGCTTGGTTGCTGGCGAGCGTCGGCCAGGCTGCCCGCGTCGGCGCGGAATTAGTTTGGGAAATATAGCGCCTCGCGCGCGTCGCCCTCATGCGGGCGATTCCGCGGCGCGCGGCAGTGTTCGATTCGTGGCAGGCGGTTGGCGCGCGGCGCCAGGGACAGGCCCGAACGCGCAAGCGCGCTCGCATGCAAGGTTGAGCTCTGCGCCTGCACACCATCGCACATGATGGCATGTGGCTGCGGGCCCGCGCTCGCGCCCGAACTGCGCTGGGCCCGAGGTTCGGCGGTCGCAGCGGCCGCGCGCGGTTGGCAGCGCAGTGTTGCTCCACAGGGCGCCAGGCGCGATGTTCAGAGCAGAGCAGGCGTCGCGCGTGGCCCAAGGTTGAGGGCCCCTGCGCGCGTGCGACAGGTTGACGGGCGGCGCAGTTGGATGTTGCAGGTCGCACGGTTTTGCGGGCAGCGTTTGCCCTCTGCGTTTGAATTGGGGCGTGTCCCCTGTTCGCGCCCAGAGCAGTGCAGTTTCCCAGCGCGTCTACTAACGTGGGCTCCTGGGGCTGCAGTGCCCGCGCGGGTCGCAGTGGCCCCTTGTGTCGCGGGCGTGGGCTTTGCGACCTGACGTTGCCGAGTCAGCGCGGGGCGCCAGCGGGCGCGCGTCGGTGGCCATCCCACGCGCGCATCGCGGCGGGCGCTCGGTTGCGCGGCGGTTGCGGTTCGGGCGCGCGCGCGTGTCTGGGGTTGGGCGGGCGAGCGCGGCGGGGGCAATGGTTGTGAGGGGGTGTGGGCTAGGCGCTGTGGCTCGGTGCACGCGTCGCGCTGGCGCGGAGCGATGCGCGCTGCATTTGCGGGGCGCGGCGGGCGGTGGGGGGGGGGGGGAGGGGAGGGCGGGGCAGGGGGGGGGGCAGGGGGCGGGGCGGCACAGACGCGCGCTACCGAGGCGTCGGGATTGCGGCTCGCTGCAAGCGCATGCACGCGTTGTTCGGGCTGCGCGATGTTATGTCGCGCACGTCCAGGGCGCAGCGCTTCGGCCATGACGCCCAGAGTTCGGGGCGCGCGCGCAAGCGCGCCGCGCGTGGACGCGCGTGGGTTTAGGGTGCATCGCTCCCGCAGCGGTGGCGAAGCGGGCGCTGCCATTGAGGCGTGCCCCGCGCCGTCATTACGTAGGGGTACGCCAAGCGCTGGCATGCGCGCAATAACTGCCACATGTTACATCATCGCGTTCCCGTCTAGCCGTCGGTACTATTCTTAAAACAAGGGTGAAAGGGGGGTTACGTGGGCTGCAAGCCGGACCCGCACCAATCACGTCGTCCGTCATATCGTCGTGGTCCGAGAGCCGCCACCGCACCGTGGGTCAAGTTTTTGTGGTTGTCATTTGCCCCTGGCGCACCATACTTTCGAGTGTGTGGGCTGCAATGCAGTTTCAATTGACGGGGAGCCTCAACCTGGTCGTCACGGACCCGACGAAGCCACAGTCCTTCGAACAACGGATCGATGTTTCGCTCCCCTGTACCGTCCTCATCCTTGGCGCTCAATGCTCGGACCCGCCAACTCCTACAGAGGCCTGCTCTGAAGATTCAGGCGAACAGCGTGATGTGCCAGACGGTGGAAAGCAGAAGGCCCCACATGACGAAGCCAGCAGTAAGGTAGTTCGCATGTCTTTGGGTGACAGCCAATTTGGGCACTTTGATTCTGGTTGGAGAGCACAGCAGGCCCTGATTGAAGCCGAGTTTGCCATGGCAGGGGGGCGCCTGCCACTGCCAGCTGACGTAGGCACTGGTGATGAGCAGGCGCGCCGCAGTTCGCAGGAGTTTGTCCCTTCGGCTTTGTTTGCAGAGGCGGGCTTGGGCGCTGCCGAAGGCATCTCTGAGGAGAGCGTGCCAGCGGCATCTTGCACCAGTGCCGCAGGTGGCGTCTCGACGAGCGCGATGGCTGGGACGCCGCCGGCGCCATCACGGCAGAGGCGCACGCCCATGGCAGACGCATCTCCAGAGGACTGTGTCTGGATTGCCGATAGCCCTCGGAAGGCTGTGGCGCCTAACGCAGGGCTGTTGGCGCCAACCGAGTCTGGCCGCAGCCCAGCCTCCGACCCCAACGTTGGCGCGAAGACGCCAGCGAAAATGCTTGGCCCTTCGGTCGTTGATACAACGCCCTCGAAGGTTTTTGGCACAGGGGTCGGTGTTGCTCCCCCGACCAAGCGCCGTTGCCATGCGAAGGGAAGCTCGAGCGGGTCAACCCCAGGTGGTGGCCACGCGGTTTCAGAAGCAGCTCCCAGTGAGTTTGGGCGCGTTGGTGGCGACGCACACAATTCGCAGCCTTGCGTGCTGGGCGTGCTTGGCCATCAGCTTTCATCTGCCAGCCAGGTGCTCCGCGAATTTCAGACGGAGTAGCCAGCCTTGGTTCGGTAGCGGAGTTATCCAGGCAGCAGTGACTCGACGATTGGGCTGGCAGGTGCGACAATGACGACGATTGAATTGACGATGCCAGCTGTGAGGGAAGGAGGGCGGGCAATATGATTAGCGTGTCGAGGCAGCTGCATCTCTTGAATGGTTTCTCGCACGTGGGTTTCGCGTGAGCCTATTTGATTTGGCGCAAGTGGCGCAAGCGCCTGATTACCTTGAGGACTCGAGCGTCGCCCGACGCAGCCTGTTGAGAGCGGTCGAGGGGCCGCCGCAGTTCCGTGCAGCAATCTAGCACGACCGTGCAGCGTTTCCAGGGATTCTCGCTGGATGCAGCTGGACATAGCACCCCTCCTTTTGGGCATCGTCATCGTTCTTCCTCGCACTTCCCTCCGTCGCCTTTCCATTATTCCCTTCCCCTGCCCTCCAACGCCGCTCATCCTGCATCGCCCTTGCCTTTCTCACCCTTCGGCCTCGCTCTCGTGCGCGTCTACGCTCTCATCTTCATCGTCGCCTCATCCGTTCGCCGTTCTGGGGTCGCCCCTTCTCTCATGGACCGCCCTCCCCCTGCCCGCCTCCTCCTTCTCCGTTTCGATCGTTCCGTCTTTCGTTGCGTCCTGTCGTCCGTTCCGTTCTCGTGCGTCGTGCCGTCGTTCATTCAACATGTTTCCCAATTCAGCTTTTCGCAGCGTTTCTGCAACTCTGGAACGGGCCATCGGGTCGTACTCGAGCGTCGTATCGTCGCCGTCGCCCCCCGCTCGTAGCGCACCCCCTCACGGCCCCCTTGCCGCGCGGCCACTGGCGTCGTGGGCGGCGACCGCACGACAGCCCCAGCAGGCCCGCCGCCCCGCGTGCATTGCGCCCGTGCCAGAGGAGGACTTGGATGGATAAGCAGGGAGGGGGGTGGGATGAGTGGGAGGAGGATGGCAAACGGTAGGGGGGTCGTCAGGCGATCGGCGGCCAAGGGGGCTTGAAGGTGAATAAGGGTTAGCTGGGGGAACGGTGGATGGACCGACGTGCATGATCAGTCAGTTGTCTCGTGTTGCCACGGTAACCATCCCCCGCCAGTTGCGGACGTCCCCACCAGCCAATCCAGAAGCGATGCCCAGGTGGGTTGAACGGATGAGATACGCACGTGGACCTCATGGTGGAGTAACGTTAATGGAAGCTTTCGATGGGGATCTCGGGGGCCATCTTGGGGCAACCATCGGCCAATCTAGGGCACCGTGCCATGTAGTTCAGAGTTCTCTACTGTACCACTGGTGTTCTTTTAGGGCTGCCTCAAGGGCTTTGGGGTTCATCCTGGGGGCGTCGGTCAATAACTTGAGCGTCGTCCCTTCTGGCGCCCTTGGGGGGGAGGGGTGAACTAGCCCACTCGCGTGGGATGCATACAACGTCCTTGAGGCTATATTGTGTGATTATGGCGCAGCGTGGTGCCCTTCTTGCGCCACTCGGATGGTCTTCCAAGCTGCGCCGGGGCCATCTGGAAGGTAGGCGGATCGAGTGGCAGTGATGGTTTGACAATTGCTCTATGATTCTGTGCGCGCCACTGCGCTGACATGTACGATAATGAGGGCCAGAGTTCCGATGCAGGGCCAACATTGGAAGACCATCTGACAGGTTGGAGGCACGTGTGGGCACACTGAGCCTCGAGGCCGCGCCAGGGGGTCTTGGAAGCCATCGTGGGCCTCTGTCGGGGGGGGGACTTGGGACAATTTCGGGCCACTCCTACACCCTGGAAGCCATCGGGGCCCTTTGTCACATGATGATGTGAGGCGGTGTTGGTGGATGCGGGTGCTCTTTCCGAAGGCAATGTAGTACCTTGTAGCTAACAGCCGAAGGCCCCATATGGCAACCCCTGGTGCCGACCATATTCTGACGCAACCTTCACGCTGCCCGTTGATTCAATAGGGGGCCTCGCCAATCGGTGAGGGCAGCTGGCGTGTGCTTCCCATCTAACTTCTGCATCCTCCCCGCGTTCCCCTCCACCCCCCTCCCCCTTTCACCGATGTGTCGCCCAACGGGGCGTGAGATTTCCACTGTGCGGTCGGCATTGTTAAGTTGCCGTTTGGATTGCAGGCCGCTCAACGATTGGTCGGCATACGCCGTCGTGCTTCTTCGATCTCAACTGCCCTCCCCATAGCCATTTTGGCCTCTCGAGTTCCGTTTGAGAGCTCAGGTTGCTCCTGGTGCTTCGGCGGGCCAGTGCCAACTGCACTACTGCCCGCCAGCCTACTCCTGATCGTCCTTGCCATGGGGGGCAAGCGCGGCCAGCCGTCGGCCCAGCCCCGCGGCTCGCGCGGCGGCGGTGGGCGCGGCCGCAAGGTTGCGAGGGCTGACAGCGGCGATGCCGCAGGGGGCGCACCGTCTGCCGCGGCCTCGCTCTCGCGCGCTGCACTCGCGGGCGACAGCTTCGAGTGCGGCACGTGCGGGTCCACCGACGCCTCGCATCAGATGAAGGACGCGGCGGTGCCGTCCTGCGTCGCTTGCTTCGATCGGTACTCGAAGGGCTTCACGCAGTTCGGCTCCCTGGAGGTAGTCCAGGCGGGCGTGCAGGACGAGGACTCGCACATCTACGACTGCTGGCAGGAGGCTTTGAGAACCGAGTCTGGCGAGCGCGCGCACTTCTTCCCGACGTCCGTCGACGAGGGGCAGGAGTTCATTGTCTCGGTCGTGAAGCCGATGGTTGGCTTGAACCGCTCGCAGCTCATCTCAGACGTGCTTCACGACGAGCCAGAGAAGATGGGCATCAAGCTGCAGGACCTGCCCGACCACGAGGGGAACATCTACAAGGGCCTCCTGGTGCCCAACCCGAATCGCCCGTACCTGGAGTACGACGTTGCCAGCCAGGTCGTCGCCAGGATGACGACGCACAAGATGCAGCCACTTCAGCAGACGTTCTCGGCGCAGTCGGCGGGCACCTACACTTACGTGAAGAAGGATCGGTTGGGGGGGACATTGGGCCGCTCGCGCTCAGGTGTCCGACAGCGTCTTTTGCACATCGCCGTTACCGCGCCAACTTGATTTCGTTTGCCACCCAGCCCTCGCGGCCTCTTGGGGGCCTTGGCGCACCTCATGTGCTTATCCCTCTCCTGGCCCTCACCGTTCCACTTGCTGGTGCGAATGGCGTTGCACTCCCCCCCGCACGCTCTTAATTTGTGCCATGGTCATCGCCAAGCCTCCCTTGCAGCCTCCTTGGCCACCCCCCGCTGCCGCCACCCTTTTCACCCCAGGGGGCGACGATAGGGGTAACGGCCTGGGCAGGGGGCGCTGTCGGACACCCATGCGCGAGTTGCGAAGTGGGCCTCCTCAAGGCGATGGCGCAGGAGGGCAAGATGAAGATCGTCTGCGTCAAGGCGCGAACGGAGAACCACACACTCGAGTCGTTGAAGCTCAAGGGGGACCAGTACAGGAAGACGCAGGCCGAGGTCGCCGCGCGGGCTCAACACCTTGAGGAGCAGGATGCGAGTCCGTCTGCCAGCCCGAACGGCGCCTCGCCAGGTGGCGTGCAGTCAGCGGCCGCGGCCGCTGCGGGGATTGGCCCGATGCTGAACCCGAGTGCGATGGCCTGCTCGAGGACAGCCGTCACGGGCGAGGGTGGCCGCGGGCCTCGCACTCCAGGCGCAAAGCCACGGGGGGCAGCCAGGTCGGCGGCGATGTCGGCGGAGGGGGAGCAATCTGAGGTGGAGGAGCTCGTGGAGCGCCGCATCGCCGCCCTGGACGTGAACAGGTGCTGGTCAGGCACCGCCATGGGCCGCGAGCTCCGCTGGGCGAGGGAAAGCCACCAGACCATCATGGAGGGCTGCCCCAACCCGCGGGACAGCGAGGTGGCGGACAAGTTGAATGAGCACATCCTTGTATGCGACGCGATCTGCCAGCTGGTCGAGAAACCGATAGCAACGCTGCCAAAGGCCAAGCTGGAGAGCCTCCTGAAGGCCATCGAGGCGGGGGACGAGGACTTGCCATCGAAGTGGAAGCTGGACGTACTCAAGCTCAAGGTCCAGCGGTTGTTGTGTTGGGGGTTGCCCGAAAGAGAAGTTGGGCTAGGCCAGAGGCGCCGAGGCGGGCGCCACCCCACTGACCCAGCCCAGTTTCTCTTGTTCGGACACCGCCCCTTAGCACATCCTGAAAGGTCGCCGAGTTCACCAAGATTGGCGACTTCGACGTGCATGAGTTCTTTGTCATCGTCGCACCGTGGGAAGTCCAAGCTGAAGTTGACATCATGAGCGACACCAGGTACAAGCCCACGCGCCCACGGGTGCTCACGTGCGACGGGAGCTTGTCGGACAAGATCGTTGCTTGCGAGGGTTTCTTTATGGAAACGTTGGCCCAGTTCATCCAGAGTGGCAAGGAGGGGCAGCTCAGCTTGACCAGATTCTGCATCAAGTGCCTCGATTGGCTCGACGAGAAGTGTCCTGATGACGAAGAGTTTGACGACGTCGTCTCGGCGATGACGACGTGCTTGAAGGCCACCTTGTGCATCGCCGACCCCGTGCGCCTGGAGTACAAGGACGCGCTGCTGGAGATGACGGCTGCGAAGTCGACGGAGGTTGGCAAGGCGTGCTTGCGCCACCTGAGCTTGGCGGTGAAGCGGTCGGCGCACTACACAGCGCTCAAGGCCAATCCCGCCTTAAGCGTCCGAGGGCGGGTGTCCGCGCATGTCGGGGCTTTCTGGGTTCTGGTGGGGGGTTGGTGGCACAGTGGTTCCCCACAGCTGTTTCTGGTTGGCAAGCTGGGTCGGGGGCGGGATGTAAAGGTTGAGGTCCCCTGGGGTCTGGGACCGAAGTTCCTTGTGGGCCCCGCAACGGGCGACAGAGGGGGTGGGCGACCCGATCGCGGGCGGAGCTGCTTGAGGCCGCGCGCATCGAATGGGTTTCAGACCCTGCGCGCTCCCTCAACGGCGAACCGGCCCGCCATCGAGCCAGCCACGCTCTCCCACGTCCAACTCGAAGCTCAGCCCACCCACTGTCGTAACACCCGCGCTGGACGCGGTAGCTTCGACGCGCGCGGACCCCATCCCCGAGTTGGTGTAAGGCGGTTTCAGCACAGGATGAGTTCGACCAGTATTTTCTGAAGACGAGCGAGCTTTTCCCGCAGATGGTCCAGCTGATGGCGGCCATGGACGCGGCGACGGACATCAGAGAGGTAGAGCGGTCGGGGACTCTGAAGGCAGCGCTCGAGCTGTTGCCGAACGTCGTGACGTACTGTCGGCCAGGCAGCTTCGGCAACTTCAAGGAACAGGTGAGCGCGAAGTTGGACGAATACATTAACAGTTACTTATTTTGCGGTGCCCTCGCCGAGGCAGATGGTTCCGTGCAGACTTCCATGCTGGCCGATGCGAAGGCACTGGTCACCATCGCTAAGACCAGCATCTCAGAGAAGGGTTCATTGTGGGCGACGGCAATGGATAAGATCAAAGAGAAGGAGTCCGAGATCAACCAGTTCAACGCCAACAAGGGCTTGGCGCAGCTCGCGGAGTCCCTCGACGACGAGATCTTGATGAACCTCGATAGGCTCAAGGAGGTGCTCCCAGTGATCGAGTCCGTGCTGGCCGCTGGCGGCAGGGGCGTGGAGGTCCACAAGGATAGCGCTGCCACCATCTTCGGAAAGATCTACTCGGTGATCTGCCAGTATGTCCGTGCCCCGACGGAGGCCGCACCGCACCTGCACATATTGATGACGCTTACGGAGACAAATTGGTTGGCTGGCGAATCGGCGGTGAAGCTCGACAAGGTGATTACCATGCTCAAGGCTTGGGGCTCCCTCTCGCAGCAGCGCGCTCAGTGGGCACAGTCTGGTAACGACGACGCGGCGCGGCTGATCAAGGATGGGTCGGCGAACCTGGTGACGAGCATCCGTTCTTCTGTCAAGGCGATGCAGTCCACTGGCTTGGTGGCAGAGGTGATCGGGGCGCAGTCGGACGTGACGGCGGCGACCGAAGAGATGAACTCAGCGGCCAATGTGTGCATGGCGATCGTGACCGATGCCGTGAAGGCTGCGACGGCGGCGTTGAAGCCGTTCGCGACGGGCACGGAGGCGTTCGACCAGCCTTGGGACCAGGACCTGGCTGCGGACGCGGGCATGGACTCGGTTCTGAAGCGCGTGGAGGAGACGATCTTGCAGATCGACGGGGGCTCCTTCCAGAAGCGGATCGACGCTGTCCTCGACGCGAAGAAGCGCGCCGTGGGGTGGGCGCAGGTCTTCGAGGTGCAGCAGGACGAGGATGCGACCAAGGAGGCGGTCGACACGATGAGAGTGGCGAGCGCCATTAAGTTCACGGCGCTGGTGGTGCACGCGTTCAAGACGTGCGCTGGCCAGGCGCCGAAGATGCGCCGCATGGTGAACGCGTGCCGCAAGGAGGCGGCGGAGGCCGACGCCGTCAGCGCCATGCGCCAGGACGTGGTGGAGTGGGCCGCGAAGCTGGCGTCGCTCAAGGGCAGCACCTAGGAGGAGTTCAGCTGGCGGTGCGACGGCGCGACGTCGCCAGCTACAGCGCTGGGATCAGCGCCCGCGAGGCTTTCTCGCCAGCGCTTGCGCGCAGCAACATGCCACCTCCTCCTCCGCGTATCCATGCCAATCCGCCCCGTTCTCATTCCCACCTTGTTGCCCTCAGCCTCCTCCGTGCCATCCTCGTGTGGCGCTCTCGCCAATGATTTCGCAGATGCCCGAATGATGTTTCGCCCCGTGCCCGAGTAGGAAGAGAAGGAAGATGAGGGGGAGAAGAACGAGGAGGAGGATGTGGAGGGGGGGGGGAGGAGGAGGAGGAGGAGGAGGAGGAGAAGGATGATTCATACAACATGGCATTGTTGTTACGGGTGACGCTTCGCATATATCTGCCAGCCCTTCCTGAACCGACCGCCTCTGACATCGGTGGCGTTGGGCCCAGTGCGAATCCACGACCTGGCGACCGTGACTTTGCATGCCTCTTTAGGGGGGGCCTCACTGGGGGCTACTTGGAGAGAATTGTGGTCCTCATGGGCCATGGCAGTGGCATCGGACGCCATGATTGGGCTGTCTAGGGGTCATCTTGGGGCTGCGAGGGCGTTGCTTTCCATGGTCCTGTAGGTCAGCGGTTGGTCATGGGGTGGGGGCGTTGGCTTGCGAGCCCCTCTGATGCAATAGGTGGTTCCCTTGTGCTCCCCCCAGGAGTGCCCCTGGGGCTCATTAAAGACGCACTTCAAGTATTATTAGGGGTGTCTCGGGACCTCTCGGAGCCTCGCGCGGCGATCTTGTGGCCATCTGATCGGCGTGTTGTTAGGTTGCGGCAAACACTGTTGTTAAAGCCGAGTCGTTGCATCGGAGGGGCGCAATTCTCTCGCGCGTCCGCGCCGCCCCTTCATTGTAGTGAGAGCCCGCGCCACGTCGATAAGCAGCCGACCGACAATGGCCATGATAAGGTTGCATATTCGAATTGGCTTGCGCCTCGCCCGCCCGCGTGACCTCCCTGCCGCGGCCCGCCCGCCCGCCCGAACCGCCCAGCCTGCCCGCGTGGGTCCACCCGCTCAGTTGTTCGAGAGGTGATCCGCCTGTTATGACGCCACGCTCGTGCGGCTCGCCCGTTAGGGCCCGCCTGCCCGCTTGCCCGAGGTAGTGCAATCGCCAAGGGTATCGCCGCCAATTGCCCCGCCCAGGTTGTAACAGGAATTCCTTCAAGCAGCTTCGGCTTGCAAGATTCCCAACTCTGGCAGCTATAGCGCGCCGACGTCGGCGACTATCTGTTCAAACGGGGGGGGGGGTAGTTTTGCGCCTACTTTTTTCGGGGGTGGTACTTTGGTAGGTAGTTTGGTAGCTACTTGTTTGGGGTGGGTGGTACTTTGGAAGGTACCCTATTCCCTATCCATGTTGCTACTTTGCCTGTTTTCGCTTTCTCTTGCCTGTAGCAGGAACTGCCTTTCATAATGCCGAGCGGAGGGGCGCCCCGACGCCCCGGCGCGCTGATGGGGCAGGTGGGGCGCTCGTGGATCGCGGGCGCCTCGCCCGCGCTGTCTCCCCGGCGCCGAAGCCGCGGCGGCCGCTGTCCTGCGCGGCGCGGTCTGGACCGGGTTCCGGATCACGACGGCAGGGGGCGTTCCAACGGCAGCGCGCGCATGTCACGGAGTATTTGTTAGGGGTGTCACAAAGAACGGGTCGCGCTGAAGCGAAAGCAGACGCGGGCCATCCGCGAGCTTCCACCCGCCGCCCTGCCAGGGGCGCCAGCTCGCGAATCTCGTCGCGACGTGCAACAGGCTGCTGCGCTTGGTGCGCCTTTGGGAGGGGGGGGCGTCCTGCGCGCTAAACCAACGCCCGCGTGCGGCGGCAGCTCGCCTACGACTGCCAGTGGGCAGCGGCGTGGAACTTTGGCAGGAGCTGCGACTGGGCGCGGAAAACCGACGATGGTGAAACGGGACCTGGCACGGGCAGCGCTGTTACGACAATGTGCGACGGAACGGCCGCCGACGGGCGCGCAATTGGTTGCGCGGAGAGGTGCCCGCGCTGGGCGCGCCAGCGCACGGCGACAGCAACGCCGCCTTCGCTGCGACCAGCGCCGCCACGAGCGCGGACGAGGCACTGCAGCTATTTTCAACACGGTGGCGGAAAATGTGGGACCGGGACGTCCCAGAGATGGGGGGACATAAACGCGGGCGTGGACCAGGCGACCGAGCGGCTCCCGCAACAGGACCGGGCCGACCACAACGCATGTGATGTTCGGGGTTCGATGGGTCGATGGGCCGACGGCGGGGCGCAGCGGCAGGTGCCGACGGATGGTCTGGGACAGAGGTGGTTGACCTGGGTGGCGTCGCGGCCCTGCCCGTCGACGCGGTGTGCGACGCCTTCGAGATGGCAGAGGCCCCTCCGACTCCGCGGCCAGAAGCGCGACATATCCACCCCCGAAGGAGCACCCGCTGGCAAAGGAAGGGGCGGCCCCAGTCTCGCAACTCCGCCCGATCACGGCGTTCAGCTCGTGGCGCAGGGTCTGGGCCGCAGCTCGCCTGCGATCCCCATCCTGCGCCGCGCGGCGCATGGAGTGGTGGCCGCGGGAGGCCCAAGGAGCAAAGAAGTGCGCTGCGGTGCACGACGTGGCGGCGCGGGTCTCGCTTCCCTGGAGGCCGGTGAATTCGTCGCGCCACGGGGCTAAGGCTCGGCAATCGATCGGGCGCCCAAGCAGCAGCAGCCGTGGGAAGCAAGCAGCAGCGGGCGCGCCGTGGCTCGCAGAAGCGGCGGCCGCTGCAGGCACGGACATCTCTTCCAAAGCCTGACAATCTTGGGATAAAGCTCACTGGAGGGAAGCAAGAGGCCGCCGGCGCCATGGAGGCCGAGCGCAGGTCCAAATCGCAACGAAAACTGCGGCGCGCGCAGTCGCTGCTGCCCCCCCCTCCCCGCAGCGGAGGGAGGCGACGGCTGCGGGGCCGATCTCTTCGATTCAGCGCGGCTGGTTCAACTCCACGCCGCCGCGCGCGGCCGCGGACAAGCTCCAGGCGGCCGTCCGCGTCGCCGCCGGTGTGCCGCGACGGTCCTCGCCGCGCCTGAAGTGCCTGGTCGTGGGCCACTGGGTCGACGCGCGCTTCCGTTCCCAGTGGGGGGCGGTCGTCGCCGCAGCGCGGGCTACACCGAGAGGAACGAACGACGGCAGCGCGCCGGGCGCCTGCGGGGCCGGACGGATCCCGGCGGGCATTTTCCAACAGCACTTCAGCAGGGCGGGCCGAAGGAATCCAGCACTGCGGACCTGGTGCCGCCGCGGGGTCGACGAGGCGATCTCCCTGGACCGCGCGGGCGCGCGCTGGCGCTCGCCCGAGCTCGTGGGCTACATGCAGCGGGAGGCGCGGCGGCGTCGCAAAGTCCACGGGGCGACGGGCGCGCAGGACGGGAAGAACACCCGTCCACGTTGGCGGCGTCCATGGGGGGCGCTGCGTCGCCGGCCGCCTTCGAGCGGAGCCGAGACAACGACTTGTCACTGGAATGCCCGTGGCGTGCGTGTGTTGTGCCCCGCGACCGACCGCGTGGCGTGGGGGCGTCAATGAGAGGCGCTCGAGGCGCTCGGGGGCGCTCTCGGGTAATGTTTTGGGGCCTCTCTTGAGGCCGGGGGCCAGCTCGAGGCCGTTTCAAGGCGATCTTGGGAAGTCACAGCCACCGGAGAGAGGTTGAGTCCAGCCCAGTGGCTGAGACGGCGCACGTCTGGAGAAGCGCCCACAGCGGTGGCGAAAACAATCGTCAGTTCAGATCTAACACTTCGTTCGTCAAGACGTGGGGGGCCGCCAACTCGGCCCATGCGTTTTGTTCGTCAAGACCGAAGTCGTTTTTCACCATCAGCCCCGACGCTGCGTTCGTCAAGGCGGAGGGTGCGGCGAGGGGGGGCGTCAAGGGGGTTCACCAACTCGGGGGAGGCCGTCGCGGGGTTCGTCACCCCAGAGGGAGGACGTAAATCGGGGCTCGTCAGAGGGGTTCGTCAACTTGGAGGGAGGCTGTCAAGGGCGTTCGTGAACTCGGAAAGAGGCCGTCACGGGAGTTCGTCAACCGGGAGGGAGGCCGTCCAGGGGGTTCGTCACTTCGGAGAGTTGACGGCCAAATCTTCTCACTGATATGGAGATGACGGGCCAATCTTTTCACTGAGACGGAGTTGGCGGCTCGAGCGCCGGATTGCGCACACATGGCCATCCGTCGCGTCGTCCAGGCCCACCTCCAGACCTGCCGCCCGCGACCGACTCAGGACCCAGACCCCTGACGTCATGATTTTTCCATGGCGTCGACCCCAAAGGTTTCGACCTGTTTCCCGGGACCGGCGTTTCATCCTGAGTCGTTTTTCGACGGTCCCGAGGCCCGGTAAGGGCTCCGAGAGGCCGAAAATCGCGAAAAACCTCCCGTCGTGATTTTTTCATAACTCGAGGGGGTCTGGGGATAGAGGAGGTCCGCAGGGCGGCGACGCGCGCCCTCTGGAGCGCGTGCCAGCGATGGCACCCTTCCGAGGAGAGCTCCGAATCGCGGCCGGGAGCACCCAGGCCATCTTCGCTCGGAACCGGTCGCGCCGCCGCATGGCCGACCCTGACTCCAGATCCGCCCTACTTTGGCTTTTTCCCAACTTAAAATTGCGTCGGAAATCCACCTATAAGGAGCCGAAAAAGTAGGGCGGAAATTTCTGCACCCAACATAAAATGGGGCGAAAATCCACAGAAGTAGGGCGGAAACAACAACAGAAAAGCAGGGCGGAAATTGGCATCAGCGGGGCTTGAAAAGTAAGGCGGAAATTCAAAGCCCTACTTACGAATTTCCCCAGAAAGTAGGGCGGATCCGGAGTCAGGGGAGGACTTCCACGCGCGCCGGCTTCTCCGCGATCGGGATGTCGTGGTCTTGTCCGAGACCCACGACCTCGAAGGAAAGGGCCTGGCGAGGGGTTGTCCAAAGGCCTCCAGAACGTGGCCAGAGTCTACGCCCCAATTATGCCCCACGATGGTCATGGGGGTCCGTGCTGAGGC